CACAATATGTAATTACAACATTACCCCTGTACCATACCGCGGGGCTTTGCCCCCGCATCCCAACCCACGTAACTTCCTAATTTGGACAGATTCTTCCGCTCCGCTCTGCTTCGATCCAGCGTCTGTCCCGATATGATATATGAGCCATATCATAACAGGTTTAAATGTAAAAAGTGAAAAGTGAAATGTTAGGTATGTAAATACAAGGGAATTGAGTGGTATGTATGTAAATCCTCATCGGGACATTTACTTACATACCACCCAATTCTCATACTCTTACACATCTAACATCTAGACTTTACTTTTTACATTTTACCACGAAAAATCTATCATATCACATAAAAAATAACACTATTTTAACCTTTAAAAAGTGGAATGCACTTTTTCATTCACGTGTAAGGTGACAAATGTAAAAATTGAAAATTTAACTGTTAGATATGTAAATTAACAGGATTTGAGGGGTGTGTAAGTAAACTCTCCTTGAATTTTCATCTTTTCAACAGATGTTTGTGATTTTAGTAAATCATTTATTGTCCACATTGCAGGAAGGATTCTGAACAGACCAAACAGATCGAAGAACTCCATAAACAAAATGATGATTTGGCGAACGAGAAGGGGCGCCTGCTCGAAGAGATCGAGCGAATAATGTCGGTGTCCGGTCAGATCTGAAAAAAAACAATTTTTTTTTTCTTGGCCTGAAAACATCATTCTACAATTTGACTGTTTTTATAGCGCCATTGTATACTCCAAAGGAGAATTGAGAAGAGGAATTTTCTTCAGGGTTTGTATCAGTATATGATGAGGAGAGTTGAAGAAGATTTATAATGCCAACTGTGACTGTGTTATATATACAGAGAACTATTTGTTGTTTTGAATTCTGATGGAAAAATTTTGATGTTATGGGCATGAGATTTTGTCCATTGTGATGTATTATTTTGAATAAAGCGATTAATGTTGAGAATTGTTCAAATCTGTGTATGTTTAGCTGAAATATGAAGGTGGCAAAATGATATGATTCTCACCTATTTAAGTATTGTTTGGTCTAGTGGTCTCGCGGTTTTGACTTATTGGTATAACTTCTCAGGAGATTACTCATCTAAGGAGTGTTTCAAGGCAAGCACACTTAATATTGAAGTTTTTAATGAAATTCCACTGTTACATCAGCAGATGCCTCGATGTATAAGCGTTCAGCTTCATTTGACTTAAGGGGCTTCACAATCTCCTTCCACTTAAGAACTTGACGTCCTCGTAAGTACTTTGATATCATTCTGTCACCCCCTAGATTCGAAAGACGGGTGGTGACTTAGAGACCACCCGTCTTTATCATGCCCTTCTTTGTTAGGGTATATCATGTTTTGGATTTGGGATGTGACAACTTTAGATTTGAAATTTGTGCATTCCAACATGATCTATAGTATGTAATAATTTCTATATTTCTACATAATACAATAATGGGGCATTTACATACATACGGCATGATTCTTATGTAATTATGGGGCATTTACATATCTAATATTAGAGGCATTTGCATACATACCACCTAATTTTTCTATATATTTACATATATAACATCTAAACTCTGCTTTTAATGTTTATACCAATTACCCAATAAATTTTTCATGTCATTAAAATATCACCATTTTAACTTTTAAAAAAGTGAAATTTAAAATGGTACTTTTGTAAAAATTAAATTTGAGGGGTTAAATATGTAAATGCATAGGAATAAATGAGTGATTTGTATGTAAATCTAACAAAACATTAATATCAAAGTACTCCAATAATAGAGTTAGGTGTTGTAATTTTTATAGTCATTAATGTTGAATGGCATTAGTAGTAGTGGGGCCACCCAATGAGTGATGTTGGGCCGTTTCGGCCCAGAGCGGCTGACTAAAATATACATGGGCCCAACTTTCTACAATAACTCCTTTTCATGACATGTCCACTCACATTTTGACGTTTTTCTTTCTTTTACGACATTTAATTTCTAACAAAAATTCAGAGAGGAAAAAAAAATCTCTTCTATTTGTTATCATTCTTATATTTATATTTATAGTAAATTAAAATTATATTGTGAAATATCGATAATATCATTGAAATTTTTTATTGCTGGTCGGTCGTAGTAACTGTCAAAATTATCATTACTGTGGACGAATCTTTTCTCATCAGACCAAAATTTCGCTTGCTCCTAGGCCGGCGATGTACTTCTCCGCTTGTTTGTCAATTTTCTCATTTTGGTTAGTTTGATCATCTGCCTCGTGTGTTAGGTATGACTCATATATCATATAGGGATAGACGTTGGAACGAAGCGGAGCAGAGCGGAGCGAATCAGAAGTCTGTCCAAATCGGGAAGTTACGTTATGTGGGTTGGGGGTGTTGGGTCAACGCCCCGCTATACGGTACAGGGGTAATTTGGGAATTACATATTGTACTGTAGGGTTTTCTCTAGGATTATAAATAGACCTGTTTGTAATCCTAGGTCTTTGAGAGAGTTGGATCCCTGAATTCTGTAAACCCTTTTCTGAATATTGAAAGGAATACGCCGCTCTGCTCCCGAGGATGTAGGCATCTTTGCCGAACCTCGTTAAATCTCTGTGTTCTTCTGGATTTGTGTCGATTGCTGTTTTCTTCGCCCTATTTTTTTCTCAACATCGTGTCGATTGGAGTCTAAAGCATGTAAATATAAAAGTTAGAAGTTGGATGTGTAAATATATAAGATTTATGTGACATGTACGTAAAAATATTTCTGTTGAATGTTTTTTATCAACTTAAGTTTTGACAATGATTATTTATTTGAAAAATATATCACTAAAATAGAGTATAAATAACTAAATTTGTGAGGGGCATTTACAAACATACCACCAAATTCCATTGTATTTACATATCCAACACTTAAATTTTACTTTTTACATTTATCACCCAAATTCCATTTTATTTACATATCCAACACTTAAATTTATTTTGAAATTAAGATTAAAATACTATATATCTTGAAATAATTTAATTATTTTTATATCATCATCATGTAAGTGACATAAAAATATCTTGGCACAATATTTCTCATTAACATGGCGTTAATACTAATTCAGATATATCTCTTAATGATTCATATTTTATTTTGATTATTTATAATGATATTATTAACCATATTTTTAACAGCCGCCAGCAATAATGCACGCCACTTTTCTTGTCAAGCCTAAAGCAAAGATAAAAAAAGGGGGCTGCATATCAGTCCAAAATAGCCACTCGCATGAAAACGATATTTATATTGAAAAGTTTCATTAAATTTATTAAAAATAATTAAAAAAATTATGAAATATTTGATTAATGGGCATTTACATATAAATCTTATGGTTCTTTCGAATTTAAATATTTAAAATCTAAGGTTTAATTTTTATATTTAAGCTATTCTATCTACTTTTGGCAAGCTTTATTTCAATTTTTACAAATTTTGACAACTAGTTATGGCTACGATTGCGTTGAATCCAAATATGTCTTGTGAATTATACTCGAGAATCGGAGCGGTATAAACCTGAGAGAAGCACACAAGGACATGTCTCATTGGAGCGAACTGGTGTATTCTCGGACTCTGTGACTCATTTTATATATAAAAAGAGATATTATAGAGATGGGAAGGAGAAGAAGTCTCTCTTAAGTATGGCTCTCTCTTTGAGAGCAAAAAATCCACGTTACAAGTATTGGACCCTTTATTTATCGAAGATAGAGGGCCACTAAGATAGAATTACATTTTTGGTCTTATTTTGATGAGGGAGTAATAAGATATTTTGGTATTTTCATATTTGGTAACCACTTTTAGCATCCTTTGATGTTTTTGGATTCTCCACATGACGAATTTCTCCTTCGGTTGGCTGAGAAGTTGTCGGTTAAATATTTTGTATGGGTGTTAAACGACATTTGTGTTTTTGGTGGCGGTTTGGGTTTGGAAGTAGCTTCGGTTGGGTCTGGATGACCGACCGGTTAATCCTCGGTAGTCGGTCTTAGATGACTTGACGATTGCCTGAGGAGATGACCGGTCATAAATGGTCGTTCGGCCTTTTGCTGGCAACTAGTCATGGATGGGCGACTGACTAGAAGATCGAACTCCAACTAATTGGTTGACGAATCATAGACCTTTATATTTTCCATCATACATGTTTGTCAGTTGTCGGTCGGCCAAGTCGATCCTTGGTCGATTGACTTTAAGCCACCAGATTGGCCATGAGTTATTTGGCCAAACATTTTGATTTGGTTCTTTAATCTGCTTTGAGATTCGTGCAAATCATTTTTGGGTGTAGAGAATGATTCTATTTTAAAATGCAAATATTCCTGTTATGTGTTAGAAGATTCGGGGTGGTAGAGTAATGAATTATCGTTTTAACACTTCACAAGAATTCAAAACAAACTCATATGAAAAAAATAACCAATAGAGACAACATATGTTTTTACGTGAAATCCCAGAAAGGGAAAAAACGATGAGGGTTTGGCCGAGTTGGTGAGATTCACTAGAAACTGAAGACTACAAGTACAACCTATTGTTCGACAGATGAAAAAGGTTACAAAGTCTCTTGAGTTACAATTGCGATGTGCAGACAACTTATCACAAGAAATGGACAACGATCAGTGTTATTGGCGGCGACAACGGTGGTCGGTGATGGTCGACGGTGGCATAAGTGATGTTGAACTTCAGTTATTTCTCAAAGTTTCAAGCTCTTCCTCGGTTCTTAAGCTCTCTCCCTTCATGAGAGGGGTGAGACTCCATTCATAGAAATATGAGTGCAATTAATGTAGGAATTTAAACCACTGTGATCAGACGGTCTGAAGAGGTTCCCTCAATCAGATAATGTATGATGGACATTTGAGAACCTTAACGATGTCAGAATTGAGCGATCTTAAGTCCGTTGAATTCATCTTATCGAGACACTCGATTTGTCTATGAACTCGCTGGATTCAACGTTCATTTGACATTCCAAATGTGTTCATAAAGCTTCAAAATGTGGTTTAATGGCCTGACCTAAGCTTTATTTGACTTAAATTAGATCAATTTTTGTATCATCGACTCCGCCTCATCGAGCCGATCAATTTGACTTAGTTTGCTGAAATCAGAGCTCTCGATGATTCTTAATTTAAGTTTGAATGTTTCTTCTCAAAAATGTGCACTATGATTCTTAACGTGCCTTAAGATTCACGTCGAATGGTGGAAATTTTTTGATTGCATATCAATTTCTATTTAAAATTTAATATTTTTGTGTCAAAATTCTAAGAGCAATAATACACACCTGGAAATATTTTTGTAAACATAAATCTCAATGAGAATTGATTTACAAGTTTAAGACATCAACATAAGTTTGTTTGATCAAATGTGTATACCTTATAAGCTATCTCAACCAATCTATTTAATAATTTAATATAATACCAAAATAACAAATTTTTTTTTCCGTCAAAATATTCTAGCACATATTAAGTTATTTTAATTTTAGTAAAAACATATTTCAATGAAAAAGACTAAAAAGTAGCGGCAATGATACGCAGTCAACAAATTTTCATCATTTTGCACGAATCACGAGACAATATATTGGGTAAGAAACTTTCAAATTTTAATTAAAAGTCATCTAGAGCTCCGATTTCAGCAAATTTATAGTCAAACTGACCAGCTCGATGAGACGGACCTAATGATATAAAAACTAGTATGATCCGAGTCAAATCAAGTCCAGATCAAGTCATTAAACCACTATTGGAAGATTTTCCGAATACATTTGGAAGGTCAAATAGATGTCAACACTAGGAAACCTATACTAAAATTGAGCATCTTGACAAGAAAAATTCAACGAGTTTAAGATCACTCAATTCTGACATCATTAAGACACTCAAATGTCCATTAAACATCGTATGATTGAAGAAAACACTCTGAACCATCCGATCAAATTGGTTCTTATTACTGTATTAATTGCACCCAGATTACTATAAATAAACCCTTACCCCTAACATGAGAGAAGGCTGAAGCCTAGAGAGAGTTTGAGGCCATGAGGAGGTGTTGTAGCTCAGCATCACCGCCAACCGACGTCGATCACCGTCGACCACCACCAGTCGCCGCCGACCACTGCCAATAGTCATTGACACCACCAACCGGACGTCATCAGTCAATGTTATAACTTGGAAAATCTTGTAAGCATTTCATGTCTGTGGGATAAGAGCTCATCACTACGGTCTATGTGTCAACCACGACCTATGTGGTCATAGTTCGTGCAGTTCCCGACTCCGGCCCTCACGGCTTACGGACGTCAAGCATACTCGCCACTATAGCCTATGTGATCCACAGTTCTCGCAACTGCTTACTACAGTTTCTCTAGACAATCAAAGCTTCTAGAGCAATCATCGACAACACTCACGACAGACTACTACCTCCACAACAATCAATAATGACCCTTGCAACTTATTGTCACCAAGAACTGCGGCCAGCTTTTAGTTATACAACTTTGTAATTTCATCTTTTCTAATTTAAGAGAAGCATGAATATATGTACTCATTATTTATAGTGGATTATTTCAACTGGGTTATACCTTGTGGTTTTTCTCCTTCTTAAGGGTTTTCTACGTAAAAAGTCGAGGCGTCTTCTCTCCTTACTTCTCTTCCTTTATCTGGGTGTGATGAATTCTCGTGCAATGTAAAGGCGATAATTCATTACACTACCGCCGCAAATTTTTTTGGCACGCATCAGGTAAGATATGATTTGTTCTAATATATTTATTTTAATTTTGAATAATTATTAAAGCCTCCTTCCAAAAAGAAAAATTATTCCGATTTAATTCACTGGGAATGTAGAGGCCACAGAGCTGTCGTCCTCGGTTCATCTCCCTCTCTCTCAGGAGCTTTCCCTCTCTCAGTGGCAATGGGAGCTCAAAGCTCAGAAACCTCACACCCCAATGAGGTAATCCTCAACCTGACACCTCCGTCTTCCAAAACCAACTCCGGCTTCCCATCACCACCGCCGCCGCCGCCGCCGCCATCGACGACAAAAGTTCGGCCGGCACCCCCTCCTCCCGTTCCCAAACCCAAATCCCGATTCGTTGAGCTCAACTGCCCTCCCCGAGCAGGTGCTCCCAAGAGATCTCACTCGCTCCCCGCCGCCGATCCCTTGCCCTCCTCCGACTCCGATTCCGACGACGACAATCGCCCCTTCTCCGACAAATTTCTCCCCGACAGCCACCTTCGACGCCGCCGCTGCAGATTCGGCCTCCGCGCAGCCGCTGAAAGCCTAGCTCTCCTCCCACCCGCCGCCCTCCTCATCTCCATCCTCTTCTTCAAATCCCTCCGCCATAAAGTGTTCTGGGACATCCAAATCTGGCGATGGTGCGTCGTCGTGATTTCAATCTTCTCCGGACGCCTAATCTCCGGCTGGCTAGTCTGGATCGCCGTATTCCTCATCGAGCGCCATTTTCTCCTCCAGGAAAAGGTCCTCTACTTCGTCTATGGCCTTCGTCCGCGGATGCGTCTGGCTCGGCCTCGTTCTTCTTGCTTGGTACCTCGTCCTCAACCCCGATCGATCCGATCGATCTTCTTCCGGCATCGCGCTCCGCCGAATCTCCCGCGGGCTCGTCACCGTGTTCGTCGCCTGCACGATCTGGCTCCTCAAGATCATCTTCGTTAAGGTTCTCGCTTCCTCTTTTCATGTGGCGACATTCTTTGACAGGATGAAGGAGAGCGTGTTCCACCATTATGTTCTAGAGGCGCTCTCCGGCGATCCGAAAGATCCAGAAGAGAAGGGGTTTGGTGGGGGGGATGAGAAGCCTAGAAGGGCTGTTAGGGTGACGAAATCGATGGCGGGGAAGGTTGATATGGAGAGGCTGCGTCGGCTGAGCAGAGCAAAGGTGAGTGCGGCGAGCGTGCGGCGACTGGTAGGTGTTGTGAGAAGGACGGGGTTGACGACGGTATCGAGGACGGTGGATGAGCTTGTTAAGGCGGGGGAGTCGGAGATCGGCGACGAGATGGAGGCCATGGCCGCCGCCCAGCAGATCTTCAGGAACGTTGCCGGGCCAGCAAAAAAGTGAGTAAAGATCTTTCGCGCGAAAATAATAATAATAATAATAATAAAAAGGGTTAGACGTCACTCAAAATATAAATTTGAATTTTATCTTTAGAATTTTATACTTTTATTTCTCTCATATTTAATATTATTTTATCTTTTTTTATATTAAACAAGTAGTTAGGTTGAACTCTATAAAATTAATCAAGTTCAAGTTCTACTCAAATGATTTACACTCTAAGAGAAAAATAATAAGAAATTAATTAATATAAAATATAAAATATTATTTTTTAAAATATTTTTAAAACTTTAAATTCATGTATTTTGAGTTTATTTTATATTCATATTTTCTTAAACTAGGCAGCTCACGAGCTAACGAGTCGAGTACGGGCTAGCTTGATCTTGGTTTATTAGCTTATTGAGTTCCATTTAGGGCTGTAAACGAGCCGAGCTTGAGCGAGCTCAGACTTGGCTCGTGTTCGGCTCGTTCGAAATAACTCGTGTTCGAAATCGGCTCGTGAACAGTGTGTTCGTGTTCGGCTCGATTTAAATATTTGTGTTCGTGTTCAGCTCGAAATTGGCTCGTTAAACTAAAATTGAGAAAAATAGATGTAAAGTGTAGGATTCAAACCTGGATCAAATCTATACAAAAGAAGACATTAACCACATTGTCATATGAGATGTTATGATTTAAATTTAGACATAAATATATATAATATATTATTATACAAATAATA